GGGAGCTACTCGCAGCGCTGTTCTGTAGAACGGCTAAAAGACTGCCCCAGGGGTCAAGGGCCTTATTGTGGGGATATTGCCCCCACCTTCTTGCATACCCTTTGCCAAAGCTGTGGGGGTCCATACAACTAAAGAAAATACATTCCTGGTTTATTAAATTTTACCCTGCTGTTTTGGTTTATGCATTTCTGTGGGTCTGGTTATTCAATTTCAGGAAATAAAACTTCTTTTGATCAAGACATGATTTCAGAGAAAAAGAATTTTAAGTTTATAAATAAGCTGCTGGGATGTTTTCATTTATGTTAACGTACAGTAGGATTAAGCTAACAGGCTGTTGAGCAACCAGCCCTAGGCACAGTATTAGCATTGATGATAAAAACACTTTCAATATAGCTACTTGAATGCGGAAAATAAACTAAGGGAAATTAAACAAAATGGTGAGAAACAGTAGCATATTCGCAATTATTCGTGACAACACGAATTTCGAATATTGGTTGCCTCGCTGGCGCCAGCTAGTTTCCTGTCCAGTTTTTTAACTACCACGCTATTAGCCAGGATTTTGAATTTGGTTGTCCAAGTTTGGGATTTGGTTTACGACTTAATTTATAGGACAGCGAATCGATATTGTTTTGGATGGTAAAATGGCATGCATCGCTAGAAATGTTTGCATGTTGAATGTCCATGTATACTGTGTAAGCTATATTGAAAGGGGGAAAAGTTGTCTGGATAAATATTGACCAACAGTAACCCCTCTTTCGTCTTACATTTGCGAATGAAATTGAATAATCAATGACAGATGACGTTACATCAATGTGGCTGTATATGGCATTATAGCATTGTAGACAGCATATGGCATGGAGGCCGGATTTTGGTGGAAATGCTGGGGCAGGTGGAAATATATTTAGGGGAGGTGCATCGTGGAATGTTATGTTAGGACGTAGAATGTAGCCCCCCACTAATCGAAGTCAACTACATGACATATGCATGTACTGTACATATGTATAATAACAGTGTATTTATAATTATGACTGTACGACTCATCCAATATTGCTCTTCATTACATTACTACAAAGGTTATTTCGAAATATTCCATTAAAAGGGCACTTGATACAGATGATGAATAGTTGTCAGTTTCTCAAGTGTAGACTCTAAGCAACGCATAACAATTTCACTTTGATTTATCATTTAACCTTTCCCAAGGGGAAGTAGGGGAGGTGCAAAACGAACTCAGGGGAGGTGCCCACCTCCCCACACCCACCCTCAAAATCCGGATGCATGTATGGTATTATAGACAGCATATCTACACAATATGGCATTATAGACAGCCTAGTCAATACTAAGGTCCTAACCAATACAAACCATTGGAGAGTGTAGCCCATTGGAGAGGATCTGTCCAAGATGCATCGCAATTTGCAAAGGCACTGGGAGGAGCACAAACTAA